TTAATTCTATCACACCCCCTCCCATTCCACTCCCTCCCTTTGGGATTACTGTAATCATTCCCCTCCAAACCCTCTTTTGTATCCAAACCCACACCTAATGTTTTGAAGTGACGCTTTACCCGCTCTCTTTATGTCTCTACAGAGTGAAACCTAATATCATAGTATATGCAATTATATGCACTCCCACATTACAAATATCTATAATTGTTTGACTAGAAACTGAAAATGAGGGGGATGAAGTGTCCTTTTTAAAACCTTAGGGGGTTTTGTAATTTACCCTATCGGGTATCAACTTACTGGAGTTGTGAGCTAGGTGCTTGCCCTCCAGTATATGCTAATCCTCCTGAAACATTTGGGAAAAGTTATACAACCTCCAATACTTCCTATTAGAGATTAAAGAAGCATTTCTAAGATTCACCTTGGGGTACTGGAGGAGGAAAGGTTGAGAGAGAATTTTGCTGAAACCATGGGTCTGGCAACCCACCTAGAAAGGTAGAAGATAACTGGGGTTCCGGCAATGCTGCTTGCAAAGAGCTCATGTCCAAAAACTGCAAAAAGAAACAATCAGTGAAAGAAATTCATGGAACAAATTAGCGATTAAGGGATACAAGATACAATCTTCTAACAAATAACACTTTTTAAGTTTGAAAAGCCTACAACTAGAATTTTGTTGGTTGTTTGACACTAGCCAGTTAGCCATACAACCCTCATGTAAGATTTGTGTCAAAAAACTCCCAATATCTATGCCAAAGCCAACAACTGTACATAGTGCTCATCATACAGCCAGATACTGTCTCTCAAGAACCTATTGAAAAAGATACTTTTTCAGAAATCAAAATGAATAATAACCACAATTGTCTCCATCAAGAGTCACATAGAACAGCACTGCAATTGTCCACAATACTTGCCACAAGTATCAACTAAGAGTTGGCTATGCAATTACAACAATAATGTAAGAAATTTACGGAATTTTCATCAAACCCCAGACTGGCAGGTAGAAAGATTTACACTCATATTTAACACAGAACAAGAGCAAAGGCACATACACACACAAGCACAAATGTGCACCCCACCATCACATACAGACGCACGCACACATGCACACATGCACACACACACACACAGAGAGAGAGAGAGAGAGATCAGATATTTTTTGCAATTTGAGAATTGAGTTATCAACTACATGCATTAGGCAAACTCATTATTCAATTCGATAATAAACAAAATCAACATAGTTAACCTTTTCAGTTTTTTCCCATTTAATTTAAATAAATTATGCTACAGAGCCAGAGATAATCATGGAACCAACAACAGTCATCATTTGGTCACACCAAATCAGCAGTCATGCTTGGTTCAGACTCAGAGGTCAGCAGGGAAAGGAATCATCTCTAATATTGAAGTATTGCAACAGAGCATTCCTAGGTGTGAGTCTCTCAGGTGCTGATACCACCCACTTGCTGTAGGACACAGATAGTGATGTGGTGCCCAGAAACAGGCCTTGCATTGCCTAGTTCAAGGAACAGAACCGTTTCAGGGTCACAAGGTACCTTGTGCAACATGATGCAACTAGTGATCATCTCCACCAGTGCCAAAATTAATTCCCCTTTCAACTTCTTCAAGCTGCATTGTCTATTTCTTCTTGTTTACAAAAATGCATTAGGTAGCACTGCAACTATTTGTAAATGATGAAACTTTTCTAATGATACTAGCATTTGCTATAATTAAAAAAAATTATATACTATTACAATTAAGATGTTACAGCTAAGCTTATTATGCATTAAAAAAATACTGAAATGTTTACCTGTCATCAACGTTCAAACAAAGCAATGATGAAAGAAAACACATACTTTAACTGACATAACATACGAACAAGGTTACCCTTGAGACTCGAGCTGCCAATACAGGCTGCAGCCTCATGTGGAGATAATGGAATGACATGTATACATGAATTTTAGTTCCTAGAATCAACAATGAAGACACAGATAGCAAAAACTGTTTTTTTTTTAAGCATGTGCTTATTATTCAGGCTGTCTATGCTACGTGTTCTGCAAAGTGTTTGCAAGCCATCTCTTCAAAGTAACCCCAATCTACCAAGATAAACCAACTTTGTCAATGGTTTTTCAGTAAAATGGATATGAGTTATTATTGACATACCACATTGTTAGCTTCTGAGCCCGAATCGTATGGAAGATCAAATGGATTTGTTGCTTTCCATTCTTGAGTGGCCCTTCCCTGGAAAACAGATAAGCTCAATGTTGTTAGATCGGTCAACCAACATATGCTATGTGTACCTATGAATGTGTTCTAGTCGTGCCATATCCACCGAGTGTATAAATCATATTGGATGCAATAACGGAAGATGGATGTGATATTGTTAGACTGGTCAACCAACATATGCAATTACATTATTCAAAATATGTGTACCTATGAATGTGTTCTAGTTCTACCATATCTACTGAGTATATAAATCATATAACCTATATTAAGATGCAATATCAGAAGATAGGTGTGATATGATTTCGTTTATTTCATGTAAACTCTAAATGACGGCAGAAAAGGTGGTATTTATCACTGTGTAATATAAGTTATAAACACTTTATATGCCTAAATTATTTTTATTGACTAAGGCATAGGAGGTGTGTGTGTCACATGCATAACAAGGTTTGCATGACTCGGATAGGATAAAATAAAACACGCCCATGTCTCAAATGATTAGATGTTAGACAGGCAGGAACAGAGCCGGAAAGCAGTACCATGAATGTTGCGAACAAAACTACAGAGACTAAGAAGATGCCAAGATCACTGAAGAAGTACTTTTGTGTACCACTCTATAAGAATAGAGAGTCAGAGACACATAGAAGGTACAGGATGGTATGGGCTAGCAGAATCAAGATTATGGGCAATATGAAACTTTAGAAAGCAGTTAAACACATCACTGTTTTAAATATCGGCCGATAATCGATATTATCGGCCGAGTTATCGGATTTGGGAGCTCTCCGCTAGGATAAATTGGATTTTTAATCGGTTATCGTTTTTGTAGGTTTATCGGCGATTTATCGGCGTTATCGGCACTTATCGGCCGATAAGTAAGAATTTTTTATCGGGATTATCGGGATTATCGGCCAATTTTGACTAACATTATATTTTTTTCAAGGCTATGATGCAAGTTTCGCTTTCTACAATTTGTTAGTGATTCTAAACCATCGGACGACGGATCCTCTAAGACGACATACTCATTATTAGTATAACATCTGTTAATGTGTTGGTTATCCCCTTCATCATGATCTATCAACGTCATGCTATTAATTTGTAAACCGTATTATTCATCATCATTCTCGGATTCGACACTTGCATTATCTTCTTGATGGACCGTGTTAGTATCAAAAGCATTTGAAGTGCCCACAAACGAAGGACCGTTCATGTATTGTGATTATGTCCAATTTTCATCTTGTTACGGAGATAAAAAGCCGATGAAGTCAACTTCAAGGTCCTCCAACATGCGGGAGTACATTCCGTCGTGATTCAACCACAGTTTTAAATATCGGCCGATAATTGATATTATCGGCCGAGTTATCGGATTTGGGAGCTCTCCGCTAGGATAAATTGGATTTTTAATCGGTTATCGTTTTTGTAGGTTTATCGGCGATTTATCGGCGTTATCGGCACTTATCGGCCGATAAGTAAGATTTTTTTATCGGGATTATCGACTCATTTTGACTAACATTATATTTTTTCAAGGCTATGATGCAAGTTTCGCTTTCTACAATTTATTAGTGATTCTAAACATGATGATTTACATTTTGGTATGTTTATATTTCATTAAGCATGATTGATTACATTTTTTAATGTGATATTATATATACACATCATCTAGTATATCACTCCGATAAATACTACTTATCCCCGATATATCCTCGATTTCCGCTATCCGATAAGGATTTTGGCCGTCCGATAAATCCCCGATAACCGATATTTAAAACCTTGAAACACATGTTCAAACACCCTTTTTTTTGGGGGGGGGTTTGGGTGGGGGTGATACGGGTGTATCTTCTTCCTTGCTTCGGGAGCTTAGCAATCCTCATGGGAGCTTGAGGATAGATGATTCGCATGATATCTTGATAATAGAGACGTGGACGAAGTCGTTGAAGGCAGCAAAGGCGAAGCTTACATGAAAAAAACTGCAGGAAACATTTTGAACTCCCAGCGGTCAACCGCGCTTAACGCCGCGGTCAACCGCGAACGTGCACAAAATCCTGGGAGATCTCTGGACTTTTGGCGGTCGACCGCAGCGACGTGCGGTCGACCGGCCAAACCCTGTAATGGGTTTTGATTTCTGTCGATAGATCCGGTCGACCGCGATGGTCTCTGCGGTCGACCACGACGGTTTCCTAAGCCTTCCTGGTTTGTTTAGAACTCCGTTTTCCTATTTGATTTTGGTTTGTTTAATTACAAGTTTGCCATCCACAATGTAAACTCTATAAAGATGATTGTTTTAGGGTTCTAAAGAATTAGAGAAATCAGAGAGGTGAAATCCTAACCAAGAGATTAGGGTTTAGAGAGAATTAGGAGATTGATCTTGATTCTAAAGAGATTGTGAAAGAATGATTTGTAATCTATTATTCTCATAATCTAGAGAAGGTATTTTCCTTCGTCAAAACTGAATTGTTCTTGTGTTTTCTATCGTCTTCTTCTCAACCCACTCTTGATAATTCTGCGATCAATGGTGCTCGTCCGGCAACTCGTATCAAGTTAGCATCAGAGCGGTTAGATCCTGTGAAGGGGGATCCTGTATATGGTCCTTACTCGATCGCAATACAAGAAGCTAGACGAGATCCTTATTTCTTTGGAAGGAGTTCAGAGATCAAGGAAGAATAAGATGACTGAAAGGGATAGTTCAGCGAGACTTGATGCATTGAAAAAACAGATGGAGATAATGGGTTCGACTCTCACACAACTCATCAATCTTTTCTAAGGAAAGGATAAAAAGGAGGAATCTTCTTCGAAAAACAAGAAAAAACTTGTAGAGTCCGATGGGAAGGGCGAGGAATCTGATTCTGATGAGACCGAGATTGTCAAAACTGTTCCGCATCAAGGGGGTAAGGATTTTTACCATAATTTAAAAATAGACTTCAAGTTGGAGATCCTTATTTATGATAGGAGTGTCAACATCGAGAGGTTTGATGATCGGATCGAGCGGATAGAGACATATTTTACACTCTACAGATATTCATCCAAGGAAAAGCTCGTGTTTGCAACTTTGAAACTTTCGGGGCATGCATTGACATAGTAAAAATCCTATTGCAAGTAGGAAAGAAAGACGGTGTCATAGAACAAATTCAATGAGCTACTGAGAAAGCAGTTCTACCCGGTGGGATTCCTTAAGGAGCGTTGGTACAAGTGGTACGGCTTACGCCAAAGAGTCAATCAAACCGTTCAAAAATACACCACGGAGTTCCAGCAGCAGACGATGGTCCGACAGGAATATTCTGGGTTTATGAAGTACATGACGGGATTGAGTGATTACATCCGGAAAGAGATGAAGTTATTCACGGTGGAATTTATTACAGAGACGAGCGTGGAGGCTATTGCCATCGAAGGCAAGCAAAAGATGAGCAATGAGGCAAAGGGAGATGCAAAACAAACTGGAGGCGAGTCCAGTGGTTCTCAACCTAAGGAGGAGAAGAAGAAGGATGATCCAGGGAAAAGAGGGTTGATTTGTAGTCATTACGATAAGACATGCCACATAGTTAATCGGTGCTGGGAGAAGTATCATCATCTCAAGCCAAGGGGGTTGAAGGAGGAGAAAAATGCGTACGTGATAGCTCAAGTTCCGAAAAAAGTCCCGGGGATTGACAGAGCCCAACAATAGTCTTAACCATATGACGGAAAAACAAACCATAAAAGAGGACGACGATCCTAGAGAGCAGCTCTTTGTTCTTAAGTTACAGGTGAAGACCAGTTTGATAGATGTCATAGTTGATTCAGGCAGCGAGAAGAATTTGATATCCGAGATCTTGATTCAGAAACCGGGTCTGAATACAGTCAAGCATCCAAAGTCCTATCTATTAGGGTGGATTAAGAAGGAGATGGGACTGAGTGTAGATCAATGCACTTTCAGATTTGCGCTTTATGAGTCGTATATTGATGAGGTCACGTGCGACGTAGTTCCATTAGATGTTTGTCAGGTTATACTGGGTAATCCCTATTTATGGGAAAAATACGCGATCTACGAGAGACAGGCTCAGAAATACACATTCACCAAAAATAGTGAAAAGTTCATATTTCGTTCGTCATCTCTTCCAAAGGAGACAAACTTGGGGACGATGAACCGAGCGAAGAGATTAGTGAATACAAGCAAGAAGTTTGTTACATTATGTATTAGTTCTTATGAGGAGCCACTGAAAGAGGGTTACAATTTGGAGCGGAAGGTGACGTCGAGACCAGATTCCTAGCAAGACCAAGTGTTTTAGAAAAGATGGAGGAGCTCGCGAGTTCCTTCAGCTAGAGTTCTAACTTGAACGGGACTTCAAATTCCTAAAGGGGGTTCATGATACGGGCGTATCTTCTTCCTTGCTTCGGGAGCTTAGCGATCCTCATGGGAGCTTGAAAATAGATGATTCTCATGATATCTTGAGAATAGAAACGTGGACGAAGTCGTTGAAGCGGTAAAGGCGAAGCTTACAGGAAAAAAACTACAGGAAACATTTTGAACTCCCAGCGATCGACCGCACTTGACGCCGCGATCGACCGCGAATGTGCACAAAATCCTGGGAGGTCTCTGGACTTTTGGCGGTCAACCGCAGCGACATGTGCGGTCGACCGGCCAAACCCTGTAATGGGTTTTGGTTTCTGTCGCTGGATCCGATCGACCGTGATGGTCTCTACAGTCGACCGCGACGGTTTCCTGAGCCTTCCTGGTTCGTTTGGGACTCTATTTTCCTGTTTGATTTTGGTTTGTTTAATTACAAACAAGGTTTTAAATGTCGGATGTCGGGTTCATGTCGGATGGCTAAAATCCATGTCGGATAGCGAAAATCGGGGATATATCGGGGGACATTGACTAAATATCGGATTGTCATATCGGGTAGTGCGCATATGTATAATATCATGACCTAAATGTAATCTAAGCATTCATAAATTCAATATAAACATACTTTATAAATTTTATAGACTAGACATATAAAAAAGTAAATAATATATGAATTTGGGTTCATAAATTCTTTCTATCGGGTTCATAAAAAACCCTTAAACATGAGAACGAGTCAAACGGGTTTGGGTATTTATCACTAAACCCAAACCCGATAACAAAAAATAGATTTAAAAAAATTACCATATCAGCCGATTTTTTAAAGCTAAAAAATAGGCTGATATGCCCGATATGACCCTGATATTTTCGATTTGGCCCTGAAAACCAACATACGAGTTAAAAACGTCCATGTCGTGTCGGTCAAGCCCTCAAACCGATATGTCGACCAACATGTCAGACGTGTCGGCCGATATTTAAAACCTTGATTACAAGTTTGTCATCCACGATGTAAACTCTATAAAGAGGATTGTTTTAGGGTTCTAAAGAATCAAAGAAATTAGAGATGTGAGATCCTAACCAAGAGATTAGGGTTTAGAGAGAATTGGGAGATTGTTCTTGCTTCTAGAGAGATTGTGAGAAAGGGATTTGTAATCTATTATTCTCATAATCTAGAGAATGTATTTTCCTTCGCCAAAACTGAATTGTTCTTGTGTTTCCTATCGTCTTCTTCTCAACACACTCTTGATAATTCCGCGATCAAGGGTGCTCGTCCGGCAACTCGTATCAGGAGGGTTGTGAAATTAACCCATTTAAAAATGCAAAAATGAATCAATTTTTTCCCATTATATAAACTCATAATTTTATTATTTATTTTAAACCCACAACTTCTGGATTCACTGTGAAATCGAAATACAATATCCGATTATTCTATACTCATTTTAGAAAACAGTTAACACATGTTCAAACACCTGAAATGAGAAGTGTTCTGAGACAGGGCATATATAAAGAGTCAGAAGAAGCTACAATTGCCAATAAAATCAGGCAAGTAGCTTATTGACAATAAAATCAGGCCCTGAAGGAGATCTGGTAAAGACAGCCTAGGGCACATGCAACAAAACGACCATTAGGTGCACCGGTTAGGAGGAGCAAAAAGACTACCCAATGGCGCAACAACTAAATTCGACCTACATATGAATGCATTAAGGTGGCAAAATAAACAGAGGAATTGGCCCTTAGAGAGCTGGATGAGAAAAACGATACCAGTTGGAAAGATATGAATTTTTTACTTGGACGTTCATAGCAACTCATAGAAAAATCATAACAAATCATTCGGCACCTCTTGTGTCATATTGAACATACACCATACCCTGGAAGGCACGGATGCAATGAAAAGTTCCATTTACCATGTAAGTGGAACCGTGGAACATTCTGTATTGAGTTTGTTACGCACTCTATTTTAGAAGGTAAATCCAGTCTTACACAAACTTTCATTTGAAAATGAGCATAAGGCACCAAGAATTTTCACTCTTGAAATTTTTTGCTTCCCACGAATGGATGACAATAAAAAGTAACCAGACTAATTGCCTAACCTGTCACTTGAAACACAAACAGTTTGCTCTGACAACGTAAAAGGTTCTATAGACTACACAATTTAAGTTATGTTATTTGTGTACACATTTAAACAGATGGCCATGATCTATTTAGAGAATCATACCATTTGAGATATTCCAGGTTGAGGTAGTGATGAACCAGGCATTCCAGTAAGCACAGCAACTGCAGGAGCTTTATCATCCATTGCTGAATTAAGAAATCCATCACTGAACATGACCTGCACATCTTGCCCATATAAGATACGGGTGCAGAACAAGCACTTATCATGTGCACATCAATAGAAATATAATAGAACCTCTGGAGCCTTGCTAACATATGGATCAGTTGGTGTAAGTTGCCTCTGCATTGTATCTTGTAATATGCTGCTCTGAGGTAGGATGCCAGGAAAAATTTGCGGAATGTTTCCCGTGGAATCAGCAAAAGCATTCTGCAAGACAAAAATATATCCTTGCAGTCTCATTAAAATTCAATAATATGAACAAATTTCCCTAGCACCAAATTCATTTACTAAAACACCATGATGACATTAAGTACTTAGTACATTAACTTCATTTACCTTATTAGAAGGACATTGTGTTTCTTTCCGTACCTGTGAATTCCTCAAATCTTCATTCAAGCCAATTGCCCACAAATCATCTGCCAATGAAGATTGTCCAGGGCTTGCAGAATTTTGAACTGAGAACATCGATGAAAATAAATCAATGCTCCCAGTAGGAGCATCTTTTTTAACAGGATGTTCTAATGGAGGAAGCCCCTGACTTTCTTTAAAGGGAGATTCAACGTGATGGGGCAAGTCAAAAGTTGCCCATCTTTCAGTTTCAGATGAAAGTCCTGCCTGAGCTTTCTGCTCATTAGAGGTTACGGTTGAAGGTTGATGATTGAAATCAGCAAACAGATCTACAGATGGGTTTGGAAAGGAGTTCTGTGATTGCACAAATTCTTGATTGAAAAGGTCAAGATTTGTTTTATTTGCAGCAGAAGATGTATGTCGTAAAGGGTCTTGTGATTGCACAAACTCTTGACTAAAGAGATCCACCACTGATGTATTTGCAGCAGAAGACATCTGCAGAACGGGGGGCAAGGCTGATGTATCTGCTGGATGAATTTCAGGAGCATGCTCTGGTGGTAGAACAGAATCAATTAAGCTCCCTGAATTAACTGATTTTAGAGAGCTGCTATCAAAGGATGCAAAGCTTCCCGATGATGCACCTCTCTGAAAAAGGAGGACAAGACCAAGGTTAGTCTAAAGTTTCCAGGCTCATCTAATAGAATATAAAGAAGTGTAATAAAAAGAAGAAAAAAAATACTAACATGTATATGTGCAGCCCTACTCATGTCCTCCGTGATATTTGGGTCTGGTGACACACCCAATTTCTGAGATTTGGCATCTTCAGCTAAGATGTCCCTTACTTGTGAAGGGGAGCTACCATATCCCGGGTCATGGAAGTTTGGTGACTGGACATCAAACCTGAATTGATCACTAGAAACTGAATAATCTGACATTCTTGAAGAGCTCTCATTTGCAAACCTATCCTCATACATCTGTTCTGCCTGGCGACCTGGGCTGTATAAGAAACTAGAGATTTTCCCTTCATAGTGCCCGCGATCTGAGCCAGGCTTCCTAGTCAGCATACCAGTTTGTCTCCCATAGCGCCTTTCTTCATATTGATGGTCATATGGTGGGCTCTGAGAAAAAGAATGATATGAACTGGCTCTCCTATGGTCTTCTTCTCCCTTATGGTTCTGTTAAGAATAGGAATATCTTAGTGTTAAAATACATTAATTGTCATGTTTGAAGGAGCAAAAGCAAATAAATTTAAATAAACCAACTGATGCATGAGCAATTAAACCTAAACTACCATGTGATGTGAACCTCAGCCTAGTTAGATGCTATTACCTGTGTGTCTCTTGGAGGTTTATCAGAAGACCTACTTCCAGCATATCTTTTATCCACATAAACAGCTTTTATAAATTCCCTGATTTTGTCTGGGTTGCTGTAAGAATAATAAAATATTAATCAATTGTCATGATTAACAAGTAGCTACCGGCTCAAATAATTTTATACCATATGTCCAAGCTTCACCTGTTGGCAGGTAACCTCATTTGCTGTGCATCCCAGTCACTCAAAAACAGTTCTCTTGCACGCTGCAATCAGTGTCATGTGGGGAATAATTACAACCAAATTTACAAGCAAGCAGAAATCACATAAGCAAGAAGTATTACCTGATTGCCACCCCTTTGAAGAGCCTCGACTTCTTGCTTTGTGAATTTGGCCATGGACACAGATTTCACCCGGTGAGTAAACTCACGGCTGCATAATCATGGGAGGAAAAGTTAATTTAGAAAATTTAAGCTATCTCCAGATTTCTAGCATGCAACTCTTTCCAGTCATTTCTGTGCAAAGATGAGTCACTCCTCTAAGTAAATAAAGTATCTTAAAAGGCAGAATCGAATAAATAAGATGCACAAAGGTAACACAAAAGGATGCCACTTGTAATATGAATATCATAAAGGTGTTTACAAATGAACTTGACATTTACAAAATGAACCAAATTGTGCACATTAGCAGAAAAGATAGCTTCAAGATTTGAAAACTACGTTATGGTACTTTCAGTACAGTTACGATTCGCATGTCTTGCTTGCCTCAGTTCTTGTGAGTTAAAATATGTAAGAAGTAACAGATCAAAGAACCAAAAAAGAGCATTTTGAAATTTAAAATAAATTATACTCATCATTAGTTCATCTGTTATTTCTACACTCTACTCAATGGTTTAAAATCCCAGGTTGATCCCGAGAGAGAGAGAGAGAGAGAGAGAGAGAGAGAGAGAGAGAGAGAGAGAGAGAGAGAGAGAGAGAGAGAAGCCAAAGTTCCACAGGATTCAAGAGGGGCTGCTTAAGCTTAAGCTTTGTTCACTTCACTTCAGGCTTAAGTATCTTATATAGTGTGCCCAGTTCATAACTTCAGAAGGCAGAAAATCAGCTGTAACAGGGTAACTGATCTGAGCTGACGAAATTTCTATGTAATACATGTAAACATCTATGCTGAACTCGCTGGATTCACACAACTTTGTATTTCTATATTATGTATTAATGGATGCATATATGTATGTATGCTGTTCAGTCACGCACCAAAGATATATGCATGGGCCAACAAGTACATGTATATACACAATGTAAAAAGAAAGCACATCCATATTTGGTCCATTTCTAGTTTCAAGCACAGCTCATATTTATCAATTGATCCTAATATGAGGCATGGAAGTAGTTATAAAACAGCTTAGATGTTTGTCAAGGTTATTTGTAAAAGGTTGTTTCAACTGAATATAAAGCGAGGCATGAGCTATTAACAATCAATACACACCAAACCCTATCCATATTACTTGCCCGACCATATGTAATTTGGGAATATCAGGGGTATGGGTTTGTATGAACTATTAATTTTCTGAATAGCTCATGTCCAGCTTTATATGAGCTATTTGCCAAAGAGTCGGACCATACACAACATTTACTTTCCTATAGACACGCTCGGTAGGTCCCTCTCTCTACTTTAAGATATAAAAGCAAGCTACAGTTTTCCAACTTAAGCTTCCAGAAGCTTCATTAGCTATTTGTCTATGTTTTGGCAAAAATCAATAATTTGGTCACATTTAATACTCATTCTCGGTTTGCCGATAACATACATTTTAGCAAAAATTTAGGAGCATGCATGATTTTATACTGTATGGATACATGCTTTATGAGTCAAAGGGGAGAATAAAGAAAAAAATATAAAGTAATAATAGAACACAGAAGAGGTTAAATAAGTAAAAACATAAAACTTGAAAGTGCAAATCATCTAACCAAATTTAAAGATCAACAAGATCTAAATTCCAGTAATTATAACTAACTGCAAAGTCAAGTTTCCATGAGGAAAGGGATTATGAATCCTATTTTCAAAGTCTAATAATATGCTAGCATTTTCATGTCAGATTCTATTGGCATAATAATAACCCCATAATCCTCACCAAATTATAAAATTAAAAAAAAAACTGAATTGTTGCTAAAGATAACAAAACGAAGCCTTCACATATCACAAATAATAATAATAATTCATTTACCAGGCGCAAAGTACCTGGGACAACCAGACCAGGACATTTAACAATATCGAGGATAGTCTTTAGAGGAAAAATAAAATAAAATGATTTTTTTTCTGAGGCCTATACCTGTGTTCACCTTCTTATAATGAAGGCCAAGAATCACTTGAATACAACCGTAAAGAAATATAACTGAAGAAATAGTTTTTGCATTCAATAACTCATCAAGTTTCCAGTTATATTAAATATCAAAGCACTAAGCTAGTTTGGATATCAGAAATAGCTATACACAGAAATTGTGCCTTTAAAAATTAATTTGTACCACAGAGCCAAGATTGCTTTAGAAACATAATAAACAGAATTGGTATCACTTCAAACATGCAATAGATCTACTGAGGAATAGGGTTTATTTGCACATTACAACTCAGAAACGGAGTCATTCACACAGAGAACAAGATTCAATATTAAGGAACACCTGCAACACAACAAACCCTTGAATGGATCTTGACTAGAGCAAAATTAAGAGATAGCTAGTGAAGCACTAAGTTTCTGCAAATGAATACTCGTCTGGGTTATTTACCTTCATATAATCTCTTTCTATTATTGCTAAATGATTACTTCGTGTTTTGAGGAATGAGGATATTACGTTTTTTGTAATCGTATGAAAGTAAATGCTAAGTCGGTTACTTTTATGGTTTTTTACAATACTTCCCTCCCTCAATCTCTCTTGCAGTAGTCTATACGGAACTAACTAAACCTTTTAAATCAAAAAATAATAGCATGCCCTCTTTTTTTGTAATTAAATTTTCTCTAACTTCCTCACAATAGTTTATATGTAGCCAACTGAAGTACTGAGCATTACCCAAAGCATGTGTAGCAGAACGCCATAATGGGGCAAGGTGTACAAGAAATAGACGTAGAAGATCTTGGTTTGAAGCACTTAAGAAGAATATGATAATAGTTAACTTGAGGAGGTAAACCGTAATTGACTAGAATGGAAGAAATAAGATTCATGTTAGCTGACACCAAAAATTTTGGAAAAAGGGCGTGTTCTTGTTGGTGTGTTGTTGTTATGTAACAGAACACCCTCTTATGATGAATCTTCTTCGTATGGGTCTCAGTTACTAATATTTCCTCTTTCTTTGTAAAAGCATAAACTCAGCGCCAACATATATACGACAGTCTTCTTTAAACTCGCATTACAAATTAGGTACAAAATATCACTCACTGACTAAAAATTTATATTCAAAAAGAATAAGAACTTTCCCTAAAAATACTATAACTATTTGAATATCAAACTCACTGAATCCCGCTGCAAGCTACACAGACGAAAGTCCAAAAATTTGTACAGACATATTGTGGACCCTGCAGTCATATAGATAAAGTAACAATTCATCAAAAAAATCAAGAAAAATAACTAGAATCAGAACTAAAATGAGAAGAAAATAAAATAGTACCAAGCTGTTGCAATTGATGCATCTTCTATTAGGCGGAAGCTTCATCAGACCTCTAATAATCTTCTCGTTTCTCTCCTCCTCCTTCTTACTATTCATCTTCTCGAACTTCGATTACCAAAGCCTAGGGTTTCAATTCAGTAACTCTCACTAGAAACCTTCAAGCGATCGATCAGAGCTCCAATCCAAACCAAATTACTCCAGCTCCAACTCTAGGGTTTCAATACAGTACCTCTCACTATAAACCTTGACTCGATCGATCGAGTTCCTAGAGTTTAGCTTTTGAATCCACTGGATCTCGGTGAAACCGAAAGGGACGGATTTTGAAAATTAGGGTTTGGGGAGCTGGAAATAAAAAGAGGATGGAGATATTCTCTGGATTTTAGCGCAGAATTTCTGCTGTGATTGTGAATTATTATAAATTTATATTATTAGAGAGAGAAAAGAAGGAAAATGGTAAGTTGAGATTTTTAGAAAAAGAAGGGGGGTTTTGGTTAATTGATTAATTAAATGGGCCCACCCCGTTCTTCCGGTCAGGAAACGGACAGATTGGATGACCCAACTCTGAACCGGCGGTCATCGGCACATTGGAAATGGATATATTTTTTTGCAGGGTCTAAATTACTATCATGCCCTCCTGTTTTTGCTAAAATTACAAATAACCATTAAAGTCTGTGTAATTATTAGTCTAGGGCCTGGCCTGTAATTTCTACATAATTAATTAAGGATGTAAAAGTGAATAAGGGGCTGTTTGTTTCTTCTTTTTTTGGTGGGAAAGAGCCCGAAAGCTACCACAGATGCGACTGCTATGGCAGCTTTCGAGCTCCTCGGTCTCCAACCAAACGGATCCTAAATCATTATCATATTCTTCTTTTTAGGAAATATTATTACTATATTCAAGATCGATGAAATGAGAGGAGTAGAGTTTCACTATAAAACCTCGGGGGGGTTTCGTGTTTATTGTTCGAAGTTTAGTGTGATTTTCTTTTATTAAAAAAAAGTTCACTGTGATTTTTTATAATTTATTCTTTTATAGGATAATTTGTTAGCTCCGACTAGAACCATATAGTTGCGATTAAAACAATTTATAACTAAAAGAAAGAAATACAATAAAGCTTACCTATAAATTTAACTCTCCTCTTCAAAGTGCATTTTGGGTTGCTTGCTAAGAAGAAAATGTGGGCATGTTGATTCTTTCGCGCATTAAGTCGAACATGTTCTAAGCGTTGCCGATGGTCACTTGTTGTGGTTGACGGCGACGATAGTGGAGATGGAGTCAGCAGAGAGCTGATCCAAGAGCCAAGGCATTTTATGAGCACCTCGCGGAGCAAGGGACTGACGTGTGGGGATAAGGGTTGCGATAGCTGATTGCTTTTATATGATTTTGATTTTTTTTTTTTTTGATCAATTATGATTGTCTATTTTGCTACAACTGATAAACACGCATGCAATTTGCAATTTTAAAAAAAAAAACTACCCTTGAAACTTAGGACTTACATAAATTTTGATGCAAATTATTAACAGAATTTTACATCAAAATTAACTTGCAATTATACGTAATGCGTTGTAGTTAAAGGTTGTCACTAGCTCGAAAAAGGTCATGAATCACAACTATTTTTTATTGGTAACCAACTCAGCCATCAACCTCATCAATTTCCCTTGTCATTAATATCTGAACCTCTATTAGCAAAGACCGTTGAGACCCATAATTTATTAGTTGCAGCCATCCGAACGACAATATTTAATCCTCGATTAATCTGTTGTCACATAGCTCTCGAAAGCCATTACTATAATGATAAGCGCAACGTAATCTATACTAAGCGTAGTTTTATTTTAATAATTTGATTCTTTCTATTTCGAATCACGTCTTTTCTCACAAGGCTGAAGTGAGGGCTAAAAAAATGAAAAAGATCAAATCACATTATCTCTGTAATAGGTAAATGCCTTTTTTCTTCCAAAGTTGTCGAAATTAGTCGTAATAAAATGTTGGCTATAATTGAAAAGGTCTTATCAATAAAATTTCCATTTCTCTGAGATCTAAGCATAATTAGCAATCTATTTTACAATTTTTCTCATTATTGTCTCGGCTCGGGAAAAAGCTATCCCATAAACAAAGGAATTGTACAGTACAAAACAACATAAAAACAGAAAAACGTCACTTAAATACCCTGGTGTTTCATCACCTTTACACTAAAATATCTTAAATTGTAAAGGTGTCACTTTAATACCTTAAATTATAAAAATTTGACACATTAGTATCTTTCGTTAGTTTTCATGGGAATATTCTCAAGAAATTTTCTTAACTACTAAAAGTTAAAACATTACTTTCTTACAACTTAGAGCATTAAAGTGTTGTTTTCTTACAACATTGGGTACTAAAATGCTATTTTTATAATTTAGAATATTTCATTGTAAAGATGGAGAAATAATAGGGTATTTCAGTGTTAGTTGTTTACAACATAGGTTTTTTTAACACTTTAAGGTATTAAAGTGCTACTTTTTACAACTTAAGATATTTAAGTGTAAAGATAATGAAACGAAAGGGTCTTTAAGTGTCACTCGGCCAATGATAAACACATTAATTATATGACCGCATGGACCCAAACCAAAAAACATTCATAGTCTTGTTCTATTGCATTAATTATCCAGCAAGAATATGACAAATACATGAATTCCTAAATTTGCTAAGGGGCTGTTTGGTTGTTGTTGGTAAAATTGTGTATTTATGACACAACTTGGAAAGTTGTTGTCCACCTCATCAATTTTACTTTTATACTTTTCTTTGTTTGTTTTTGATTCCATTGGAATCATAAATTGCTTGTTTGGTTTGCAAATGTAACTTTAATTGTTTATTTGGAAAGTATAAAAAGTGGTCCCTACTCAAATGATCATATTGGTTGGAATTATTTTTTATTATTTTTTCCTGACTTCAATGTCAGCTTTCTCCTAAAACCATGTCTTTTTTTTATGAAACCACTTTACAAGCCACATCAGCATATGAAATCACTTTACACTTTTTTCATAGCTACAAACAAACAATTGAAAGTGATGAAAGCTAACATTGAGACCCACTTTTTTACACTTTCCATCCTTTTACATGGTAAAAACATACAACCAAACGGCCCCTAATTCATAGAGGCTGGCATGTCAATGATATAGCATTAATGCAATGGATTAGGTTCAGCGGATACTCTTAAGTAAAAAATCATATAGACATGAATGAGAAACTTACACCTTACTCCACATCCATTATTAAAGCTAGTGGATACTCTTATTCTAATTTTGTTTATAATAATACTACTAAAACGCACGTGCATTGCACGTGGGCATACTTGTTTGATGTCGAAAATTTTGGATGTGGATCGTAAAATGGTGAAGTGAATCGATGGAGAACTCTCGATTCATGTGGTTAAACTGATTTAGATTTTACCAATATTCATGGAACCTAAATAAAGGACGTAACAAGATATTTGTGTGCTATGACTTTTAGGTAATAAGATTGGCCAATAGCTAGAAGGACTTGAATGTGTAGAGTAATGAGACAAAACAATGAACCAATTTATATCATGTTTTAAATTTAATTACATTATCAAAGTCTATGCTAATCATCAGCGTTTGAAGTTGAAACAAAACATACAAACATAGATGATTGAATTTACTTAATAGCTAATATCCAACATGGATTAATAGGGTCAAAAAATTATAATCCTATGCATGACAAACTTAATCTGTAAACACAATAGCAACACTAAAAGATGCTTTAATATTATAGATGGGAGACTAATCTTTGCTCAACTCACACTAAGGTTCAAACTATTTAAGTAAATACTAATTAATAAGAGCTTTCCCAAACAAAGTAATTAAACTTAAAGCTAAAATTGATATGATTGGATGATAGAGGTATTGTTGGGGAATTTCAGTCTCCCCGCCTACCACGATATGCGCAACTCGGAAGCCAACCCCAATCAATAAGATAGAACAACCACAATCAAGAAAAAGAACACCGAGATTTACGTGGTTTGGTCGACCAACTTCGACCTACGTCCACAGTAACAATACGAGAAATTCACTATGTATCAGGGAGAACTACAAGAGGAACCACTCAACTCTCGTCTCTCAATCTCTCAACCTCACATGCATAATCAACTCTCATATTCTCTCCAAAGCCCACTCCTTGTAATCTTTTGCACGGATAAAGACTACGAAACCCTCTCTCTCTCTCTCTCATCTACTACATCTCTACTTTTTCTTCATAATTTTTCCTCCACCAATCCAATAGAAGAATATATATAGGAAAATCAAAACCCTATCTCTAGCCTAACTTCCTAATTAGAATAGGATTCAAACTCCTAATCATGATAAAACTCAAACTCCTAATCATGATAGAACCCAAACTCCTAATCATGATAGAACTCTAACCTTATCTAATTCTTATGAAGTTACACAAAGAATCAAAGATAAAATCCCAACAATCTCCACCTTGGATTTGATTCCCAAACTCCCTTGAAGATATATCATCATCGTCTTGAAGCTTTGTCTCTCCTGCTAGAGTCTTCTATTTCTTTCGCACTTCAAATCAGAACACCTGCACTCCCAATTGGATGCCTTCATGATTCTCACTATTTTCTGCTTCGCCGTGACGTCTTCACCTCTCTTGTTGTCCTTGTGATCCACCTGCATTGCTCGTCTCGAATCATATCGGTGCACCTCTCCTACTCCACACTATGAGCTGGATGTCTTTATCTCCTCCATCACTTGGCTTGGACTGAATATGAGCGATCACCATCTTCAAGTCCAACGCTACCATCTTCATCTCCATGTGTGTCACTCGGTCGTGCTCACTTGCAAGCTCCACCTAATTTAGCACTGTCATCCTTAAGTATACACACCAACCAATTCCTGCTCCTTATCTACCATCAGATTTGTCTTGCCGTTAAATAGCGGAATATCAAACTTCGGACCCGAAAAAGTCATCATCCTCTAACCACTATCAAAATTCAAATCAGTCCCTTTAGTGATTGAATTTGATAAAATTGATGCCAAACACGAATTCATCACGTCAAAAAACCCTAGGAACGACTCCTGGATCACCAAAATCCGCCTCCAAATCCTCAATCGGCTAACAAATCAATCTGGACCGTCGGATCCCCACATGAACAGTGCCCGCCGTGCTACAATGTTCTGCTATAGTACCGCTGCTACAGTATTTTTCCCCTTTTCATCTTGATTCTTGTAACGCTGATTTTCAATCTTGCACGGCGTCGTCTTCTATCTTGCAAACTCGCTCACGGATCCATCACTATCGCTCTGATACAACTTGTTGGGGAATTTCAGTCTCCCCGCCTACCACGATATGCGCAACTCGGAAGCCAACCCAATCAATAAGATAGAACAACCACAATCAA